CACCAAAAAATGACATGGAGGGTTGAGAGAGGTAGTACAGTAGGTAAGGTACTTGCTTTACTTGTGGCCAATCTGAGGTTCAATTCTCAGTTCCTCATTTGGGCCCCAAGCATCTCCAGGAGTGATCCCTGGGCAGTGCCAGATATACCCTCCTTCCCAAAAAGAAAATTTAAAAAAAAAAAGATTTGGAAGCTGGTAAGTAATTTTTAAATGGTTCCTAAACAATAAAATTCCTTTAAACTTTCTGCAAAAACTGAGTGCCCACAAAACATACCAAGCACTTAAGAGTGACACAGTAAAGACTTTATTTGAAATCGTTCTCCCGGGATTATGCACTGACTTCCTAAGTAGATAGATAATTAAACAAACCAACCCTTTATACAAATAAGAGACAAAAAGAAAAGTCATGGATGGGATATTGTGCCTTTCATAACAAGAAGTTTTAATAAAACACAGCCCAGGATTTCAAAGGAAAAACCATTATGTTGCCACAGAACAGAGAGCTATGTTTCATGAAAATCAATTTTAGCACAGAACTGAATTAAACCAAAATAATCTGTTAAGAATGACTCTCTCTCATATGTGGGGCCAAAGACACACACAGCACAAGAGCAACACATGGCAAAGATTGAAGAATAGATCCACAGAACTGAACATGTGGGGTTGGGGAGTTTGAACAGAGCTTTAGGGACCCTTTGGTGGAGTGAAATGGGATACCACAATTGTAGATGTGGTTTTGGAATGAAGGATGTATCCATTAACAGTATAGCAAATCACAATCCCTCAATAAGATATAATAATACTAATAATAATATGCCCATTGAGAAGGCCAAATGCTGAGTTTGTTAATTCAAACATCTAAGCCTATTACTCACAAGAACTGAAGATGGAAATAAACAGAGCCAGCACCTGAACTGAAGTAAAGACCAATCTCAAACCTGAAAAGTTGTTATGAACCTTACAGAAAGTAGGAAAGTTCAAGGTTAAGGTTCAACAAAATGTTATACTATCACCCCTATCAAAGGGGCTGCCTGAACCGTTCTCTAGTTCCAACTGTTTAAAATTAAAGTGGGGAGCAATTTATTGTATTACAAGTAAGGAAACTAGGCGATCAACTCTAAATTCTCTCACTCTTCACTTCTTTAAAGTATGACAACCATCTAAATAATGTCACCGAAAGTCCTAAATTATCCACTAAATAAGCAAATAGAACTTTCAAAATGACCCAAGTTCAGAGAAGAAAAGGGGAGAGTTATTCGATATTTACAATAGCATAAATATCTACACGTAAGGGACTGGAGTGACAGCACAGCGGGTAGGGCGTTTGCCTTGCACGTGGCCAACCCGGGTTCAATTCCCAGCATCCCATATGGTCCCCTGAACACTGCCAAGAGTGATTCCTGACTGCATCGCCAGGTGTGACCCCAAAAAGCAAAAAAAAAAACTACACTTAAAATTAAAGTATCTAGGAGTCACAGTGATCCAGGGCCATTCCCTGGTAGTGCTCAAGTGGTGCTAAGACTCAAACCTGGAACTCTCACATATGCAATAGTCCAGCCCTCTGAGCTCTCTCCCCAGCCCTCAAACTAGTTTTGGTTTCAGTAACCAGCAATACTGTTCCTCATGAATTCCCTTCCTAGGTAGATGCCAAGTTTAAAGGTAGCTGAACGCAATGTCTGCAGAGTAACATGTAATGACAACACAGCACTCACATGAAGTAAAAGCAAAGAAACTATTCTTGGTCACAGGAATATCATAAAACAATTTCAACAAAGGTACAAAGTTCAACTTCCTTCACCACTGGGGAGACACAAAGTACAAACTCAGGTGAAAACTCTCTTTTGAAGAGACAGAAGTCACAGGGTGGTAAGTCAAACAGATGTCTAGGTGGACAGAAAGCAGAAGGGAAGATTCTCCTACAGCTTATGGATATATGATTGATAACATGACTAGGAAAACAATGAGACATTCCCATCATCTGTCCAGAAAAGCCCAGGATCAGGAACCATATTTTTAAAAGTTACTTTCAGTCTCCCTTCAAGATTTATAACAAAAGAAAGCATAATACCCCAAATCAAAGCTAAAGTTGTTACTGCCAGAAAGAACCTTCAAAGTCTCCCCTCTGCTCTGCTGGCTTGGCGGGCTCCCACTCAGTACCTATTATTAGCTGCAAAGGAGGCAAAGGAGCCGGCTAGAAAGTCCTTTCCTACAGCCTGCTCGTCCTTCCACCTCAGAGTCTCATCCCCAAACATCAGAGATCATCCCCACTAATGCCACCTCCCTAGCAAATACAACTGGCTCCTGCACTTTGCTAGTTTCTAAATGACGCATAAGGAACACAGTTTAATAAAAATTACTAGTCAAGGCTAGAGTGGAAAAGTTAAACCCACTATACAATCAATGTCTTATTAAGCTGAAAAAAATGCATGTCTCTCACAAAGCTTTGATACAAGGGTCTTCAAGTCCCCCTTAAAATTCTCTTACTCTATTTTATGAAATGAATTCCCATAACCTAAAATCTGTCTCTTGGGGCTGGAGCAATAGTACAGCAGATAGGGCACTTACCTAGCATGTGGCCAACCCAGATTCAAGCCCCAGCCCCTTATGGTCCTGAGCAGGGCCTGGAGTGATCACTGAGTACAGAGTCACTGATCACTGAGCACCGCCATGTGGCCCAAAAACAAACAAACAAACAAAAAATAATAAAATCTGTCTCCTCTGGAGGTAACATGAATGGTGCTTTCTATTTTTTCTTTTCCCTTTCTTCAGTGCCATGGATCAAACTCAGGGCATCCCTTTGTGTGCATGTGTGTTGTGGTGAGTGGGGGAAGGAAGGATAGTTGGAAGACTGGGCCACACTGAGAGGTACTCAGAGGCTCCAGGGCGCCCTGTATACTGTTTTTAACCATACCCAAGTTCTGTGAATAATATTGCTTCAAGTTGTTCATTTCTGATATTTGAAGCCTTGTCTGTAACCTGCAGGTATCTTGCTATATACCACATGTTGTTTAATCATTTAACCATTTCAAATAATGCTTCACATGAGAATATTAAGCAACTAATAAAAGCTGTTTTAGAAAGATACAACCTCTTAATTATGACTTCTGTAGAATCAAGAATCACAAAGCAGTATCCTCTATAAATTACTAAACAGAGGTTATCTTTGACTGTTAGGAATAATATCTAAACTCTTGTTATTTACAATTACAAAATGTGCTACATCCATTAGTATAAAATACTCCCTTTCTTTGGACAAAACACAACAGGCCAGTGTCTACAACTATTACAAGGAAAATTTTATTATTATAAAAACTTCAACCCTATTCTGGAAGATGATGTTTATTCAACACAGTTATGATTAGTCCTGAATACACTCTAATCTTGGGAGTTATTAAACCTGATTAAAAGGTTGAAAAAATATGCAATAGGCAGATCAGACTAAGATTAATTAAAAATACATCTCCCGCATTGTCTATTAAGTTGAGACTATATAAGCGTCTTCACCAATCTTTCAACTTTTAAACTATTTTTGGAATTCATACTCTCATCCATGCCCCAACTAATCAAAACAAAACAATGATGCAGGTGTTCTCATTACTCCCTTGCTTCTGGAATTTAAGCTTCTAGCTCAGGAAAAGGCTAGAGATGGTATTTTGCACATTATGGACAGTGCCTGCCTAACTAAATGACAATTCCTTCTTCACATATGGCTCCAAAGGTCTGGAGTTCAGAATCTTTCAATTCAAAAAACCATGCCCCCTCAAAACAAGAATGTTTAAAGTCGCCAAAGTTGTTTTTTTTCCCAATTAACAAAAAGTAAAAAGAAACCCTCACATAAGCTCATTAACCTTCACATAAACCCGTAAGTGTACAATACATATAGACTAAATGAGGAAAATCTTGATTTAAGGTTGCAGGACATGTTAAGTGAGTCTGAATACACACCCACAATATACAATATATGTCGACTGCACCACAAACCATCAGCTCTGATTAAGCCTGAGGAGATTAAGGACCTATTTCCAAAGGGAAGGTCTGAGAAGGGAAAAGAAAAAAAAAAGTGGGAGCGATAATGTGTTAACTCAACTCCTGCGGAATTTTCTAGCATTTTTCCGGGAAAGGACGACTGATATCTCTAGCCCAAGTCACAATGAATCAGCCTGTTATATTTTAATTCAGTAAAGCACATTCAGCAAAAATAAATAAATAAATAGTTTGATTTCTAGTAACACAGCAATGATAATTCTCTCTCCTACAAAACATCTCCGAAAAGAGAAGCCTGGTGCACCAACGCCAAAGGACCAGAACCGAGGCCCCGAACAAACACTGCTGAGGGCCGACGACACTATCACCCCCCCGGACGGACGCAGTCTGATCAATGCTCCGAGACGCGGGCACGCTGTGAACGCAGCTTTGCAGCACATCCCACCAAGCACCGGACGCCGCGGCCGGGACCCCTACCCACCAACAAAACCCTGCACAATCAAAGACCTGAAACGCCCAGACCATTCCCCGGCTCCCAGCCAATAACACACATTGTACAGCCTAGGGCCCCAGACACCCGAAACACCTGGACCGGTAAGTTAGGTGACCGTGCCCGATACACCTACCAGCTGAGCCCTCGGGCACCCGAGGGGTAAGGTAACCTTGGCACTAGAGCCCCCACAGTAAAGACCTTCCGTAAACGAAAATGTGTAAGACTGCCCCCACCCCCCACGCAGGAGAAAAAAAAAACACAAAACCTAGAAGAAGGGGTAAAAAGCGACACTCCTGAGGCCCCTTATTCCGCAGAAACGGGCAGGGCGAACTGGGGTTTTTCTGTGGAACTCGGCGGTAGGGACGGAGCTGGCGTCGGGGGAGCGACGTCGGGGCTGCCTGACAGCTGGCGGCGCAGCCCGGACTCGGCACGGCGGGGGTCGCCGCCTCCGGTTCCCCCCCCCCCAGCTTCCCGCGCGCCCCGGCTCTGCCCCGGGAGGGACGCCCCCCGGGCCGGCGCTTACCTGGCTTCACCGTCTTGAGGCGGACAGGCTCGCGGAAGTGGCGGATGACAGCCAGCGTGTCCCGGTGCGTGAGCCCGCTGACGGGCGTCCCGTTCACCTCCAGCAGCACGTCCCCGGGCGCGGGCGCCCTGCCTGAGACCACGCAGCAGGTGCCCCCGCCGGGCTCCTCGCGGAGCCGCCCCACGTAGGGGAACTCGCCGCGCTCCGCGCCGCCCCGGATCTCGGCGCCCCAGTCCCCGGCGCCGGCCCAGGACACCGCGCACTCCTGCACCTTGCTCAGCCAGTGCTTCTTCTTCTTCAGCGTCTTCGACATCCCGGAGCCCGCCGCACCATGGGGAGAGCCCGCGCCGCGCGGGCCGCCCCCCGCTCGCCGCCCGCGGACGCCCCTCCCCGCCCGCGCCCGGCCGGCTGCCTGCCGGGGGCAGGAACGGTACCCTGGGGTTCGGGCGCGGTCCCGGCCGGCGGCGGGTCCCGGGCTCGGCGCCGGAGCGGCGGGAAAGGCTGAGGCAGGGGGCGGGGAGGCGAGGCGCCCGCCCGGACGCTAAAGCTCGGGCGCGGGCGCGCAGAAGCGCGCGCAGACCCGGCGCCGGATCGATCGCGGCCGCTGCGGAGCGGGAGAGCCCGGACCAACGCCTGCCCGAGCTGCCAGGAAACTGCTGCTTTCAAACCCGCCGCAACCTCCTCCTCCTCCTCCTCCTCCCCCTCCACCCCCTCCGCCTCCTGCTTCCCTTCCCCCGCCCTCGCCCATTTCTCAGTCAGGGCCCCGCCCCCTCCCGCCGCGCGGCGCCCGGCGCGCTGCCGTCACAGGCTGGGCGCTGGGGAGAGAGCCCCGGCTCTCGGCTTCCGCGCCGAGGATTGGCCCCCGGCGGGCAGGGAGGCGGGCCCTCGGCGAGGTGGCGCGCCGTCGATTGGTGGCTAGCGTGGAGGAGGCGGGCACTCGGATGACTGAAGTTGAAGAGGGTGGGAAAAAGAAGTTTTCAAGAGTGACGGAGGGCGAGAGGAGGGTCAGGGGCGCTGAGCGGGCGGCCAGCCGCGGCGCCCACCGAGGCTCTTGGCGTGACTCCTGGGGTCGACGTGAAGCTCGGAGAGCGAGAAGGGCTGAGGGCCGCGCCATGGGGGCGCGGCGGCCCGGGCGAGCTGAGGGGCGGAACTCGGGCGCCCGCTCCCGGCGCTGAGGATCCCGTGGACTTCAGCGGGAGACGGCGACGTGCGGGGTCCGCGGCCGGGGATGGTGGCCTACGGGGGGCCCGCCGCGGCCCATCGCTCCCACAGAGTGGGTGTGTCTTCTTTCACTCATCCAACAGGCGTTAATACAGCCCCTCGAGGCAGGATCTCCGAGCCCCGTTGCTCGCACCGTCGCTGCCCAGTGAAGCCCACCGTCCTGACGGAATAGCTCCACCACCCTCCACGCTGCCGAGAAGGCTACACGTGGTTTAAAAAAAAATCACAAATGCGGGTGCTAATTGGTTTTATTTAAACTGTTCGGGGGATGCACGAATGGCACTGCTGCCCTCTAAACAGGCAGAAGGGCCTGCAGGGACTTGTACAAAATTGAGGGTTTTTATAGTCAGAAAGAGGGTGAGACTAAGTTATTAGCAAAAGAGGAGATTAATTCAGGTAAAAGCACCTTCACTCTGGGGAAAAGGAGGGATGGGGGTGTCTTAAGGTTGTTTACTTCTAGGCTAATCAGAAAGCCCCACATTGATTAGTTTGAAATTACATCCCTTTGGAGGCTGGACCTGATATTAGTTAGGTATTAAGTTTAGTTGCTGATGACTGGCCTGAGCTATTCCATTTTGAGACTGGTTCTCTCTTCTCTGTCTCTGTCTCTCTGTCTCTGTCTGTCTGTCTTTCTTCCTACCCCCCTCCCCACCCCACTCCCACCTCACACAGGTGCACATGAAGCATCTGTTTTCTGCTTGGTTCCTTGCAGAGGAAAGTGGGTGTTTCTTAACATTTGGTGGGTGATGAGGATGGTGATAGCTTCAATGTCAAGTGGAAACTGGAAGGTACTGGAATTCCAGGAAGAAGAAAACTAATCTGAGGCTCTGCTTCCAAAGATGCTGCATTCTAGCCAAGAGACTGATGAGCAGACTCCCTAAAAGGGGGTAGTGGGTTCAAGTAGAAGTGGGAGGAGCAACCAGCCTAGTAGTTAGCAGGAGTTGCTGTGCCCTAGTGATTGGAGTTCTGCCTTGCTACTTGCAGTTTGACCTTGGCCAAATCTCAGCTTCAAAATTCACACCTCTGAGAATAGAGGGAGAAGCAATATTCAGTCAAGGACATCTTGGGTTTAATCTTTTCAGAAGCTTGAGTTTTCTCTGTTCTCTGGCTTGATCCACAATCTCCTCAGTCTTGGTCTGAAAAATCCTCTCCATCCTCAGCCCAAAGGTCATCCATACCAGATTCCCTCTCCTCCCATGCAAAGGGTTTTGTCTGCCAGCAGATGCTTAGTGTTTCACTTTCGCAGCAGGGCGTGTATGTCCTCTCCATTCTCCCCTTAAAGGCTGGGTAGAGCCATTATTTAAATGATGAACGACTCCACAGACTCTTACCACTTCTCACGTAGTCTGGACCCAGCTTAACTGCTGCCGTGATTTTGTTCGCATTTGGCCTAGCAGAAAGCCTGGTACTTTAGAAAGATATGGGTAGGGTATCGGAAACCACAGAGGAACTCTAATCTAGCAATAAGCATCTATGTCAGTTGAAGCAAGGAGAAAAAAATGGCTACCAAGCTCACTCCAGAAAAGGCAGCCTGTGACCTTCAGTAAAGGGATTCAGTGATCCTATATAATCACTCAGAACAAGCTGCAGGATTTATATCTTGCTCCTCTCCTCCCCCAGTCTCTGTTGGCGTATCCCAATGGCCACATTCAACCATAAGCTACAGGGCAAGAAAATCTCTTCAGTTTCTGTATGAGCCCGTCACTCAGAGAAGAAGAAACGGAAATATCCAGCACCAGACATCATGTGGGTGGCTTTGGTTTACTCAGCTCAAAGACAGAACTGGAGTTTTTTTCCCCCCCTGCACTATTTAGCTACGCTAACGGATTCCTGGGTGAAATCCTGATAACCTCCACATCATCTACTTTGCAACTGCTCTTGGAAAACAGTTTTTCCTGCCCTGATTTTAATCCATTGGGATGCTCTGGCCACAGGAATGGCACCTCTGACTAACAGTAGCTTTATGCATGTAGTTGTTCATTAAAGCCTAACAGGAAGTTCCAATCTAGGTAGTCTCTTGATTAGTTTGGTAGCATGATTGTCATGTGAAGAACCTAAGCTCTTTTTGTGTTTGTCCTCTACCATCATAAACATATTGGCTTTTGTCCCAGGCTTGTTACTCCTGGTTACAATGTCGCCGCCACAGCCCCAGATATCATCCTCATAACACATCCTCATGGAGGGGATGAAAGAGAATTTGGGGGACAACAGCACTACTCTTATTTTTATGGAGTATAATTGTGGGCTGGAGCAATAGCACAGCGTTAGGGCGTTTGCCTTGCATGCAGCCAACATGGCCGACCCGAGTTCGATTCCTCCACCCCTCTCGGAGAGCCCGGCAAGCTACTGAGAGTATCTCGCCCGCACGGCAGAGCCTGGCAAGCTCCCCGTGACGTATTCGATATGCCAAACACAGTAACAACAAAGTCTCCAATGGAGACGTTACTGGGCCCGCTCGAGCAAATCGATGATCAACGGGAGGGCCTTTACTTTACTTACTTTATAATTGTTCTCAGACTTCCCATCCCCTAGAATAATTTCTTATTGGCCAGCAAATGGCCATAAACCCACTATAAACCAGTTATTGTCCAAAGAAAGTGGGATGCCATGATTTACTAATAAGATTGCTCCTGAGTCATTTCCTAACAAAATAGAAATTCTTAGGCTGGAGAGATTGCTTAGTGGGCTGAATCCAAGTTTTGCATGCAGAAAATCCGGGTTCAATTTCAGGAACCAGATGGCCCTCTCAGTAACTTCTGAGCACACATACGTGCACACACATTAACTCCACCCCCTCACCACCTCCCCTCCCCCCACACACACATACACTAGTTCTGTATGAAGGAAGAAATAGGGAGTAGTAGTAAACTAGGTACCTAATCATGTCAGCCACATACTGCAACAAAAAATAAGTTACATTGACTGATAGTCAAAGAGCTACAGTGATTAGGAACTTGAGTTCTAGATCAGACTGTAAATCCCAACTTTTCAACTTTTATGACCTCCGTTTTCCCGACTACAAAATGGAGAGGATCACAGGGCTTTCCCAAGTTATGGTGAGGATTGAATGGAGCTATTTGAGCTGAGTAAGCAGTTAACACAGGGTCTGACATATAAGCACACTCAATAAATTATTAGTTTGTGCTGAATGGTAAGTAATATCTGTGACATGACTAAAAGCATTGTTAATTGCCTTTATTATTCTTCAAATATTAAATCCACCCAATTTAATAAACTTAGGTTCTGTTTTTAAAATATTCCAGAAATAAACTGCTCAGCCCAGTGAGTTAATTCTGGTAGGATGCAATTCTGGAAATGACTACACAATTACAAGCATCTCTCTCAAAAATGGCATCCATCCAAATATTGTATGTATTTATCACTAATTCCTAAACCTAACAGTTGGCTTAATACTGATTTCCATTGGAGAGTATTAATAAGACAAACAATATGAAACCCAATTTACAAGAACAAGAACAGACAAGACAGTTGGATTTAATTATTTTCAGATTTTTTTCTTTTATTTTTTGCCTCAGTGGAGACTGTGTTTTGGGCCATACCTTGTGTTTTGGGCCATACCTGACTCTATCTGTGCTCACGGATCAGGGTTTGTTCCTGACTGGTTCCTGGGAAGAAAACAGCAGCTTCAGGGATTGAACTGGATTAACTGCATGCAAGGCAAACACTTTAACCCCTGTGCCTTCCCGACACTTCTCTCCAAGCTTTCTTTGGACTCCTACCTATTTAATCTGTAGCAAGAGGTCGGTTTCAATATTCTACCCACTTGAGTTAGATCCCAAGATGGTTGCAATAGCTCCAACTAACATAATATCAAAATAATGTCTAAAAGCTGAAATGAGGGAAGTAGGTGTCTCCTTTCTTCATTTCCTCTTTGTATATCAAGAAAACCTTTGTACAAAGGCCCTTCCCTGCAGTCATCAGTCAGGATTACCCAAATGTCCTTTCTACACCAAAGATACCAAAGGTAATGAAATGCCCTTATCCAGTTACATTATCTAGTGCTGGGAAGGGAATTCAGTATCTTATACACCATGTGGCTGTACAATATCAATAAAATTTGGTGGGAGTTTTCTAGCATAAATAAAAGGAGATATTGGCTTTTATGTAAACAAGTCGCAGTGTCTCTATTTTTGTGAGGAGGTCAACTTCTGACTTTACTAAGAGAGCCATGTGGGGCCGGGATTAAACCGGGCCTCCCATGTGCAAAGTGTGTGCTTCAACCCTTTGAGCCTTCTCCCCAGTCCTAGAAATCCACAATGCATTGTGCAAATGCACAGAATTTTCTTCTAATATATTTAGGGGATGAGGGGGACAAAGTAGGAAGTTAAGTTTTGTCTTATAATATTGTGTCATGTGTTCCTAATGAAAGTTAAATCCCTCAAGTAGATAACTTCAGGCAAATATATATTTACACATTTTCTGAAAAAAAAAAAAAGAAAAAAA